AATTGCGGGCATAAGCCCAAGTCCCAAATCACGATACGGAGCTACCAAAACTGTCAAAACACTGATCCGGATTCGTTTGCTAAAAATGTTGACCAAAGTCAACTCAGTTGAGTTTTAAAGCTCTATTTCACGTTTTAATCTATTTTTCACATAAAAACTTTCCGAAAAATTTTACGGACTGTGCACGCAAGTCAAGGAATGATAAATGGTGCTTTTCGAGGTCTTAAAACACAGAATTACTTATTAAATTTAAAGATGACATTTTGGGTCATCACATTCTCCACCTCTAAAACAAACGTTCGTCCTCGAACTGAGTTAGAAAAAGTACCCAGGCTGGAGAAAAGGTGTGGATATTTACTCTGCATGTCCGACTCGGACTCCCAGGTAGATGCCTCTACCGGCTGACCTCTCCATTACACCCGAACTGAAGAATAACTCTTAGACCTCAACTGTCGGACCTGCCAGGCTAGAATAGTCACCGGCTCCTCCTCGTAAGTCAAATCTTTGTCCAATTGGACTGAACTGAAATCTAACACATGGNCGCAGTACCTCATGGCAGCATTCAAGATAATCATGCGGGTCCTCAGAAGGTGTACCACTGAAGTGAACTGGAAAGAGCTTGGTAAACTTATCCAGTCTCAATAAAGCCTCAAAAGACATGGCGGGCCTATCACCGATCTGTGCCGCAACAACTGGCTGAACTACCCCAACTGGCGGGGCTGCTGGAGCCTGATTCTGGGGAGCCATCTGCTCCAGAGCGGGAGTAGTGGGAGTTTGTGGTTCTCCCCCAGCCTGTGAGACGGCTGGTGCCACTGGAAATGTACCATTTTGGGCCATGCCCTCCATAAGACTTACCAAATGGACTAGAGCGTCCTAAAGTACTGGAGTGGCTATGAATCCTTCCAGGATCTGAACTGGTCCAACTGGTACATTCTGAACTGGAACCTCCTCCTGAAGGTCCACCTGAAGTTCTACAACAGGTGCAGCTGCTCGAGCTCTGGACTGAGCTCTACCTCGGCCTCTAGCATGACCTCGACCTCTACCCCTGGCCATAGTTGCTACCGGGGGTTCTGGTCCCTGTCTATCGGTAGAGGTATTACGTGTTCTCACCATATGCGAGAGAATAAGAGTAGAATGGTTCAATCATCGATGATAGAATAAAATCGCATGACAGAATAAGAAAGAAGTGATATTGTTCCTAAATTTCATAGCCTCTGAGAGATAAGTACAGACGTCTCTGTACTGATCCTTCGGACTCTACTAAGCTTGCTCGTGACTCGTGAGACCTGTGTAACCTAGTGCTCTGATACCAACTGTCACGACCCGAAATTCCCTCATTCGGACCGTGATGACGCCTAATATTTCACTTGCTAGGCAAGCCAACGTTAGAATAATATTAATAAATTTTTAAACCATTTTTAATTTATTAATAATCAAGGAAACAAAAGCGGAAGCAAAGTTTGAAACATAGTGAAATAATCCATAAAAATAATGGTGTCTAAATACCATCCCAGAATTGGTGTCACAAGTGCACGAGCTTCTAGAATAAATACAAATAAAGGTCTGAATAAAATAAAGTCTGAAAATAAACACACGGCTAAAGTAAAATAGACGGGGACTTCAGAACTGCGGACGCCATGCAGTTATATCTCAAGTCTCCTCTGGTAGCTGAAATTCGAGCAAGTCTATGGTACGCCGTTGGGACCAACTCCAAAATCTGCACAAGAAGTGTAGAGTGTAGTATCAGTATAACCGACCACATGTACTGGTAAGTGCTGAGCCTAACCTCGATGAAGTAGTGACGAGGCTAAGGCGGTTCAATTACATTAACTTGTACGCAATATTAATAACAACAACAAATAATAGAAATAAATCAGGTAACTCATTTATAATAATTGAAGCCAACCCAGCAGTCATAATCCATTATTATTTCAACCAATTCTGTTGCAACGTGCAACCCGCTCTCACAATATATTCACATTCAATTCTGTTGCAGGGTGCAACCCGCTCTCCCAATATTTTCCTTTTAATCAAATTTGTCATATATTTATTTCAATCAAGTATATATATATAGATTTTTAAATAAGTCTATTGCGGCGTGCAATCCGATCCCCCAATATTGACTTTTCAATAAGTCTATTGCGGCGTGCAATCCGATCCCCCAATATTGACTTTTAATAAGTCTGTTGCGGCGTACAACCCGATCCTCCAATATGAACTTTTTAATAAGTCTGTTGCGGCATGCAACCCAATCCTCCAATATTGACTTTTAATAAGTCTGTTGCGGCGTGTAACCCGATCCTCCAATATATATATTTCAATCAATTCTTATAGAAGAAATTTCCCCAATAAATGCAACAATTAATATAAAATTATAAGACAACAAGCATACAACAATTATGATTTAATTATGAAACAACAATGACAAATAACAAATTATTATAGAAATCAGGGAGAAAATAGGCAGTTTAATATTTAATATGCTAAATGTCAAATAACAATTAAAACACATAATTGAAATAGTATGAAACAATTAATGCAGGAATTCAAGAATTAATATTTGACAAAGAATATGAGAGAAATAATTATTATAATAATTAATTTATGATTTTTCAAGTAAGCAGGCAAATAATTAATTTGACAATGTATAGACACTCGTCACCTCGTCTATACGTCGTTCACATGTATTTCACATAACAAATAATTTAAAGGTTCTATTCTCTCAAGTCAAGGTTAACCACGACACTTACCTCGCTTTGCGAATTCCAATCAATTATTCAACCACAACTTTTTCTTTTAAATTTGCCTCTGAAAGTTTCAAATCTATTCACAAACAATCCAATATATTCAATACTAATTATAGGAATTAATTCCATATGAATTTATAAATTTTTCGGATAAAAATTCGAAATTCATTTAAATATTCGACAGTGGAACCCACGTCTCAAATTCCAGAAAAACTCGCTAAATCCGAACACACGTTCCGCTACGAGTTCGACCATACAAAAATTATCCAATTCCGATATCAAATGGACCTTCAAATCTAAATTTCTCATTTTTGGAAGATTTTAGAAAAATCTTATTTCTCTTCCATAAATTCACGGATTCATGATATAAACGAGTATGGAATCATGAAATATAATCAATATAGGATAAGGAATACTTACCCCAATGTTTTCCGTGAAAAATGCCCAAATATTCGCCTTAACCGAGCTCAAAACGACCAAAATGTGAAAATAATATCGGACTCTTCGATATATACACTGCCCAGTCATTTTCGCACCTGCGGTGCCTGGGATCGCACATGCGAACTTGCATCTGCGAGAAAAATCTCGCATCTACGAAATAGGGCTGCCAGGCGAGGCCTCGCACCTACGGAGGAAAAATGCGCACCTGCGCTGCCTTCGCTTCTACGGACGCGCGGATGCGTGCAGGTTTCTACACCTGCGGACTTTTGCCCAGCCACGCCTGGGCGCATCTGCGACCAAAGGCTCGCTTCTGCGAGCTCGCACTTGCGGGCAAAAATCCGCAGGTGCGATTACAACATAAGGTAAAATTTTAGATTTTGCTTAAGTCCAATTCTTGATCCGATTTAAATCTGTATCACTCTCGGGGTACTCGAGACCCCGTACGAATATATCAACAAGTCCAATAATATAATACGGACTTACTCGGGATTTCGTATCACGTCAAACAACGCTGGAATTACAATTCATACCCCGATTCGAACTTTGAGTTTTAAACTTTTCAATTTGCAAATCTCGTGCCAAAACATATTAATTGAATCCGGAATGACTTCAAATTTGGCACACAACTCATAAATGACATAACGAAGCTGTTCAAATTTTCAGAATCGGATTCCGGCTCCGATATCAAAAAGTCAACCCCGTGGTCAAACTTGGAATCTTTAGCCTTTAAATTGCTAGTTCCGTTAAATGGTCATAACTTGAGTTAGGGACCTCCAAATTAAATTACGGGCATACGCCCAAGTCCCAAATCATGATACGGAGCTACCAAAACTGTCAAAATACTGATCCGGGTCCGTTTGCTAAAAATGTTGACCAAAGTCAACTCAGCTGAGTTTTAAAGCTCTATTTCACATTTTAATCCATTTTTCACATGAAAACTTTTCGAAAAATTTTACGGGTTGCGCATGTAAGTCGGGGAATGATAAATGGTACTTTTCGAGGTCTTAGAACACAGAATTACTTATTAAATTTAAAGATGACATTTTGGGTCATCACATGATGCAGGCAGGTTGCAAGCAGCTCAATAAAATAATTTGCAGCATCTTCTTATTAAACAGGCAGGTTGCAAGCAGTTCATGCAGACAGCTTACAAGCAGCTAAAGAAAAGCCTCGTAGCTACTTGCTTTCTTATATAAATAGATGAGTTTTCAGTTCATTATGTACATAAGTTTGAAATTTGAATAATATATTAGTTTCTCTTTGTATTTGTCTTTACTTTACGGTCTTTATTTTATAACATAAGTCAAGATATTTCAATTTTTATGCAAAGATATTTCAGTTCAATATTTATCTTTTTCGCCCCATTACCATACCAAAAAAAAAAAAGGAAAAAAAGAAAAGAAATACATGCAAAAATCCAGCGAAAAATCAAGCTCACGTGTCCAAGTCACCCTCGAACTTTTCGAAGTCAATAATAACAAATTAAAATAAGACAAAAGTTCTCCAGTGTTCTTATTTCGAATCTTCTTTTTCCAGTCTTTTCCTTTACTAGGAAAACTTAAATACAAGAAAGAAAAAAAAAAAAAAAAAAAAAAAAGGAGAGACAATCATATTTTTAAATTATCTTCCAGTATTATCGGAATCCAGATTCTCCATTAATTGCTTAATTCTTGGAGATTAGCAATATCCTTGATTTTTATCCAACGCAGTAACTATAAGTGATTTTTTATTTTATTTTTGCTTTGCTTTGACTTTGGGCCGGGAAGATCTGAACTGAACAGTCAAAAAGTAAATAAATATTCTAAGGTTGGTGCACTGAACTGTACTATGATTCTCTTATCTACCCTTCTTTCATCTTTACGTTTCGTCAATTATAAGCAATCTGATTTAGGTTCTTTTTCAATTACTATTATATTCTGTATTTAACTTATGACATTTATTTTGTTGCCTGCAATTTCTGGTTGGCAAGTTTGGTAACTCAATTAGTCCCTTTTTGTTTTTAAGTGAAAAAAACAAAAAAGCTAAACTGTATATATATAATCTCTTTGCATGTTCTAGTATCACAGAACTTGCACAGCAAAAAAAGGTTTTTTTTTGGGTTTGTTCAAAGACTTTGATCAAAGGAGATAAGGTATGTTATATTAAAGATTGATGAATTGGTATATAACGTGATTTTCTTGTGTTAAGGTTTGTGTCTTTTTGCTTTTTATTTTTATTTTTATTGAGATTTTGATGTTATGTTAATTGATTAAGGAGGTTTTGATATGTTGTAGATCTAATGATAATACTCTGTGTTTGGATTTGTGCATCTTGGTGATGTTTATATACTAATTGATCAGTTTATGATTGCAGGAGACTTGTTGGAGAGATCTGAGAAATGGCAAAGAATTCTGCAAATGGAGCTCACCAAACAACAACAAAGCCTCCTCCAACTCCATCTCCATTGCGCTTCTCAAAGTTCTTTCAGGTAAAATTATTAGACACGCCCGAATCAAAAATTTAAACTTGATGGGTTTAATCTTTAAGTTGCTTTATTTTCACTGTTCCTTGAGCCGAGGGTCTACCAAAAACAGTCTATTACCCTCCCCAGACCGCACCGGTTTACAATGGGTTTGTTGTTGTTGTTGAGTTTAACCTTTAAGTTTTCGCCATTGAATCTATCGTGCTTATGAAATTATGGGGTCTAATCCTAATTTGTTGAAAATATTCTTCACATGTATACTTATGTTTTGTGACGTAAATACTTGCTTCAGTTGAATCCATCAGCCTCTGAAAATTACTGTGGTTGTTTCATTAATTCCTTTGATTGTTCTCTTTGTCATAGGTTTGACTACAAGTTTGTTCTACGAATTTGATAAAATTTGAATTAGACATTAGTTATGAATCATTAAAGCGATGAGGTGATTTGCTATTCGCTTATTGTGAAAACAAAAGATTATGTGTACCTGACATAGAGATAGGAAATTGACATTTGCTTCTGTATTTGGCAACTCTTTAGGGGTTAAAAATTGTTCATTTGGCCTAATTACAATGCCATCAACAAGTTGAAACTCAGAGAGATAGTGATTACATATGATAATCAATGTGCTTTACCGGCGTCACAAATTTATGTAGAATTCTCATCATCCACACACTAACCTTCTAAGATAAAACCATATATACTAGGTCTACCTATTTCTGTTTTCTAACCTTCATACGGTATTTACTAATATGTTGTATCCCCGGTGGCAGCCTAACATGAGAATTTTGGTTACTGGAGGAGCTGGATTTATTGGTTCCCATCTAGTTGACAAATTGATGGAGAATGAGAAGAATGAGGTATTTTTTTCTGAAAGAGATTCTTTTGTTAATCGGGTTTTTTCCAATGTTTCCTGTACTGCATCACAAACATTAGGCTCTCATTCTCTAATGTGGAAAGATAAAACCAGCTAATAGTATGATGCCCCTTACTGTATCTTTCTTATTATACAGTGAAAACTTTTTGCTTATGGTTGCGCAGGTTATTGTTGTCGACAACTTTTTCACTGGTTCGAAGGATAATCTTAAAAGATGGATTGGTCATCCCAGATTCGAGCTTAAACGCCATGGTATAACTCTCATCTTTTCTTCATTCATATATTAGTTAACCAATATCTGAACCACTTACTGAATTCAGCAAGCTGGAACATTCTTATCTTTATTTTAAAGTAATTTAATCGTTTAATGATATTGAAGACTACCAAGTTCTGTTATGAAACTGATCAGTAGATTGTATTTGGGGATTCTTTATGTAAAAGTATTTTAACTGTAGTATCAGATGCATAACTGTTTTATTCCTTTTTATCATTTGTAGATGTGACAGAGCCTTTGTTAGTTGAGGTTGATCAGATTTATCATCTTGCATGCCCGGCTTCTCCAATATTCTACAAGTACAATCCTGTTAAGGTTTGTCTGATTTGTAATTTAAACATGCCAACTTCAACTAACATGCATCGTCTTATTCTTTTCTTGCTCATACTGACATTTCATGAGCAGAATAACTTTAATTTTTTATCCTCTTCTTCTTTTCTTGCTCATACTGACATATTTCATGAGCAGAATGGCTTTAATTTTTTATCCTCTTCTTCTAGTCAGCTCCTCTTAGCGAGCAGTAAATCGTAATTTTCTGTTGTCATCCCAGAAAAGAAGAAAATGGAACATTAACTTGTCAACATTGCAACTCTTCTTTTTTCTATTTAACATCACTCAGTAAGCCTCTCGGCTTTGGGTAGTATAAAATCTGATGGCATGCAATATCTGGTTATCACTTATCCTTAGCAATAATCTTTTACTTCCATAGGAAAGGATAGAGATTTAGCGAAGTAGAAAAATTTGTTTATGATGCATTTTTCTTATTTTCTTTTGCTGACAGACAATAAAGACTAATGTCATTGGCACGCTAAATATGTTGGGCTTAGCAAAGCGTGTCGGAGCAAGGTTTGAAGATTGAAAATGCTTCTTGACCTCATTTTTTTGGCATTCACTTCAACTCATTTTCTGTAATTTTATGTAGGATTCTGCTAACGTCAACCTCAGAGGTTTATGGTGACCCTCTTGTGCATCCTCAGACTGAGGAATATTGGGGTAATGTTAACCCAATTGGTACGTCCTCTCACTTCTTGGATTTCATTACAACGCGATGAACTCCAACAATTTTTAAACTAATGAACAGAAGCACCACATTATATATTGTTTTGTGTGTGTTACTCATGTTTTTACATCTGCACCTACTCGGAGGACAATACGGATTTGCATTTGGTGATATTTGGAGATTCAACTATTAAAGTTTCACTATCTGTTCTCTTTTAGCCTACATGGTTCAGTCAATCACGTTGATCACAAGAAAATTCTTTTACAAAAGTATTTAAGAAAATGAATTACAAACTAGAAATCCAAAAACCATTTTGGTCTGATGAGTTAGTCAGTTAACATTTGAGTATCTCATCTGGTGAAGCATGCGTCTAACAATATCGCTCATGTATATAGGAGTTCGGAGCTGTTATGATGAGGGGAAGCGTGTGGCAGAGACATTGATGTTTGACTACCACCGACAACATGGGATTGGTAAATCTATTGTTCCTGTGATATTGTTCAGATTGTCCACAACTTATTTTTCCTTATCCATTAATATCGATGTATTGGGACAGAAATTCGCATTGCTAGAATATTCAATACGTATGGACCTCGGATGAATATCGATGATGGGCGTGTGGTCAGCAACTTTATAGCTCAAGCACTTCGGTAAGTTCTTTCTCTCAAGTGCTGTTACTCTGCTAAAATATACAAATATAGCTATCTTCCTGTTTGTATCAATCAATATCCCACCTAAATATACCAACCCTTTTAACTTATGGCTAATAATGTTATTTCTAATTTGCTCCATTTTTTAGTGATGAACCATTAACAGTTCAAGCTCCTGGGACACAGACTCGCAGTTTCTGTTACGTCTCTGATATGGTATGGCAACGAAATACTATTACTGTCATTCTTGGTTATGATCTTGCTCTTAATGTTATCTTCTCATTCCCCAACTCGTTGAAACTTTGAAGGTTAATGGGCTTATTCGGCTAATGGAAGGGGAAAACACGGGGCCAATCAACATTGGAAATCCAGGTGATTGACTGATTTATCTTTTAAAGGTGGTATTCTTCTTTTGTGAGTCTGATAATATTGATTGAGACGCGCCAGATCCTGATGAGATGCAGGAGTCTGATAATTTTGTAGTTTGCACAAATCAATGGTCTGAATCAATTGGTGCACGTCTACCACATCATTGAAGAAACTTTCGATATCATTATCAAGCTGAATTATAGTTTTAAATATTTTGTTGTTCGATTACTTATAATCTTGCTGTACAGGTGAATTCACCATGATTGAGCTTGCGGAACTAGTCAAGGAGGTAATCATATATTCTCATGAAGCTTCTCCTTGTTTCTTATGCTTCATTTGTACAGTAAGAAGCGATGTTGTTCTTGTCTCTTGAATAACGTTTAGACTAAGGTCTAGATCACTTAAGTTGCCAAGATACTGTCAACATTGTTTTTGGCTAGTCATGCACTTTGTGTGCAGGTTTTGTTTCTAAAACTCTTTCCCTATTGCATTGAAGTTTCGTTTCTAAAATCGTTGCTTCATTTACTTTTACAAACAAAAGCTAACTATTATTTACACAATAAAATAATTTTATTTAGTACCCTTTCCATGTATATAGGAGAAGAAAAATGAGGTGAGAAACATTTTGTAATCATCTGATATGTATGAAGGGGATCATATATGTGTGTGTACATATAAATTCTTGTTCAGTTTTCTTTCAACTCAGTTGGGAAAATGGTAGAGCAAAAATCCTTGCTTTTGAACTGAAGTAAGGTAGAACCGAAGTTCGAGCTAGTCAGGATAACTTGCTGCCATGTCATCAGGAGGCCACGGGTTCAAGCCGTGAAAATAGCCCCTTGCAGAAATGTAGGGTAAGGCTGCTTACAATAGACCCTTGTGGTCCAGCCCTTCCCGGGACCCCGCGCATAGTGGGAGCTTAGTGCACCGAGCTGCCCCTTTTTTTTTTGTGTGTGTGTGTCAACGCCATGGATTAGTTGAAAACCAGAATTTGTATATTAAAAGTTTGGACTTCGCGTGGCTTCTGTTTCTGCTGCTAGAAAATTGCTCTTTTAATCTTAAGAATAACGACATGAAAGTTGTTATTACTTTTGGTTTGCAGCTTATCAATCCAAAAGTGGAGATCAAATCGGTGGAAAATACACCAGATGATCCAAGACAAAGGAAACCAGATATCGCAAAAGCAAAAGAATTGTTAGGATGGGAACCAAAAGTCAAATTGCGCGATGGCCTTCCACTAATGGAAGAAGATTTCAGACTCAGGCTTGGGGTCTCTAAAAAGATATAAAGAGAGTTGCAGATTATTTTGGCATTCATATTATTGAACCAATAATATTTGATATTGTTTTTTGTTGTCTATCCATGAGGACAATCTCCCTTGTTTTCTTTGAATGTTTTTACTCATGGTATATAGAGTTTTCTACTTCATGTTTTGTTTTTGGATGAAGATTTGGGAAGTCAAGTGTGCTTCATTTACTGTTTTCATAAACATGTGGCGATTTCCCATGTGATTTATTAAGAAATTCTATTGACACAAGTTGGTTTAATCTTTTTGTTGCTATTTGGTGGTATACTTTTTTTGTTTGCTTTTTTTGGTCAATATCATACACTTTGAGGCTCGTCCCATAGTTTATGTTGCTCTCGAAATTCATTGACTAGTCCTTGACTACTCTTCAAAAGTCATCCTTGTGATAAAAATCCAAAATTAGAACAGTGCAACTAAGAATAGAAGACCTAATATCATCAATTTTGCACTAAGAATGCTATGAAATGAGTTTTGTTGAAACTATTCATCTGGAAATCGCATTCTTTCTATACGAAAAAAGGACAGTCTGGTGCACAAAGCATTCCGTAAGGGTCGGGAAGGATTGTACATGTAGACAGCCTACAATGCAAGTATTAATGGCTGCTTCCACGGTCGAACTCGTGACTTAGAAAAATTTTAAACTATAAATGTTTCTTTACTCATTTACTTCTCTGGAGCTCCAAATGACATTTTCGTTCCAAGATGATACATATTTTCTTGTAATTTCTGGATTCTTAGGGTAATGTGGTTGATTTGTATTAAAGTTGTCAACATGGGTTTCGCCCGCTGGCCGGCCCAACCCAAGTCATGATTTAATAGGGTTGGGCAAAGATTTTTAGATACCATTTAAGAAATGAGACTTTTAAGCCTCGCTCAAGTAAGCTTGTGGCTCATGAGGCTTGCTTGAGGTGGGTTGGGCTGGCCCATGGGCTTAGTAAACGTATTTAATTAAAAAAATATAGGATACTAAAAATAACAAGAAGAGCAATCCAAAGTAAAAATTGGTAATATTTTTTATGTGAATTAAAATATTTTTTTACTCTTAAGATTTTAGTTATTTCTTAATTAACTAATTAACACTGCATATAATTATAGATTTAGATCAAAATAAAGATGTTACATCTTTGTTTCACAAGAGGATTCAAATGTATTTGACGAACATAATTTGTTGGTGTTGGATATGCCATGAACACAATAGAGGTTAGCATCAAGAGGGGGGTGGATAAAATAGAGGTTAGTATCAGGAGTCTCGTGTAACAAGAGAGCCATCGTTAATCATAGGTAAGTTCTACAGAATTGTGGTTAGACCGGCCATGTTGTATGGGGTAGAGTATTGGACAGTTAAGAACTCTCATATCCAGAAGATGAAAGCGGCAGAGATGAGGATGTTGAGGTAGATGTGCGGGCATACCATGATGGATAAGATTAGGAATGAAGTTATTCGGGAGAAGGTGGGCGTGGCTCCTATGGATGACAAAATATGGAAAGCGAGGCTCAGATTGTTCGGGCACGTGCGGAGGAGGAGCCCTGATGCTCCGGTGAGGAGGTGCGAGAGTTTAGCCCTGGCGGGGACAAGAAGAGGTAGAGGGCGACCTAAGAAGTATTGGGGAAAGGTGATTAGACAGGACACGGCGTTGCGGGAGAAATTTAAAAATAGCCAGATTTACAAATGGTCATTCAAAAATAGCCACAATTTCGGAAGTAATCGAAATTTAGCCACTTTGCATGTAAAGATAAATTTGAATGAAAACACTGCTCAAAATCAGGAAAATACTCCAGCATAATATATTGAAATTCCAGTATGATATACTGAAATTCCAGCATAATATATTGGAACTCCAGTATAATATACCGGTCCAACATAATATACTGGAAGTTCATATATGGGTGCTCTAATCTCCAGTATATTATGCTGGAACTTTCCGCGTGTTGGAGTTCCAGCATAATATGCTGGAAGTTCAAACACAGGTGCACCGATCTCCAGTATATTATGCTGGAACTTTCCGCGTGTTGGAGTTCCAGCATAATATGCTGGAAGTTCAAACACAGGTGCACCGATCTCCAGTATATTATGCTGGAACGTTTCGTGTTGCAGCAAAATAGTGACTATTTTTCAATGACTTTGCAAACGCTGGTTATTCTTGAATGACCAGTCCGAAAACTGGCTAGCCTGTGCTATTTTTACTGGCATTGCTGCAGATTTTCGAGAACATGGCCCTTGATAGAAATGTGTGGAGGTTGAGCATTAAGGTTGTATGTTAGGACGTAGTCGAGTCATGGGGTGAGGCTAGTTCGATAGGGGTGGTTTTAGACTGTTAGGGGTTAATGTTGTGCTCTCCCTATCCCTGCGTTTTCATAGCATCAGGCTTATTTTCTGGTTTTGTTATTGCATTTCAACTATTTTCTAGTTTTTATGATGCTAATATTATTTCTTTGGTTTATGTTTGATGGTACTAATATATTGTCCCTTCCCTTCTCTTCTCGTCTTCTCCGTTTTCTTGAGCCGAGGGTCTTTCGAAAACAGTCTCTTTACTCCTTCGGGTAGGGGTAAGGTCTGCGTATACACTATCCTCCCCAAACCACCACTTGTATGTTTTTACTGGATCGTTGTTGTTGTTGTTAGGTTAAAAGTTAAATTTTTAAAAATATAAAAAATAACTTTTGAAAAGGTGGGCCAGCCCGTGGGGGCCATGACCCATATAAAGTTGGGCTGACTATTTTAAGGCCCATCAAAACAGTGAGCTGGCCCAGTTCAACCCCGCCAAAATGTCAAAGCCAGTGTGGACCGGGCTATGCTGCGTCGGGCCAGCCTATATTGACCACTCTAATTCGTATCCTGGTATTTTTATAAGCCTTTATATTATTCAAAGACCAAAACTATGTTCAAACAGTTTAAAAATTATGTTAGAATTTTTTAACTTGTCTAACTCAAGTCAGATAGCATAAATAACTCTACATAGTCATTTGTGTAATGTAAGCAAGTCCAAATCAAAAGACAAGGAAGCCAAGTCAAAGTAGAAAGAAAATCTTAGTCGAACCAATCGAAGAAAATGTAATACATTTCACCCTAATCTCATCTACTGGATAAGGGAACTCCCTTGATCATCTGAAGAATTTCTTATTTTAACCTAATCGACAATTGTTAGGATGAATTCACGCATGTGAGAGATATGAAATCTCCAAGCAGGCTTAAATCCCATACTTAACATGATTTGGATGGACTCACATGAACCTTCTTGTATTGACCTTTCTTCTTCTCTTAACTAGGATGGTCTAGCAGAATAAATTTGTAATTGCCCATTCAATAAAGGTTAGCCATAAAGAGGCCAGAATGGTCTCGTGAAGTCGATCTTGAGAGTTAAATTTCAAGCCGCCTCGTTTTAAAGGAGACGAGACATTGACTTATAATTGTAAAAAAAAAAAAGAAAAAAAAAATATAGAAGAACTGGCTCTATCATGCGAGCTTCTCTTTTATAAGGGCTTTACGCATGTTAGTGGAAGTCGAGCATGCCTAGCTTTTGGACATGATTGACTGACTCACTCATTCGGAGTGGCTTAGAATAGTTCGAGAGGTGGTTACACTAATTTTTTTTTCAGGTTAAATTTACGGGACAGACCCCATGAGATTTGAGAAAGGTTTATCTCCATCGACATCGACTCATCCCAATTTTTAAGAAAGAGATCGACCATCTTGCTCTCCCAACCCTACGAGTCTCATAATACCTTAGTTTGAATTAGGACTCAGAAACCAAGATACATTAGAACGAAGAATGAATGAATAGGATAGTCTGCAGAATAGTATGTTGGGGAACTAGCAAAATGAATGAATAGAATAATCTAGCATAGAATAGTCTAGCATAATCATATGGTAGGAATGAGCATGCCTCGTACTTTTAAGGTTTGAAGGAAAATTTTTTCCCCGTAAAATCATACACACCCTAATTTCCCTGGCTACTTCCTCATCGGGAGGAGAGCTACTGTTCGTATTAGAAACATCCTTAATTCCATGATATTGCACACTTTATTTAACCTGGCCGAATACATATGTAGCCCCTTAAACTTGTCTATTTTTTCTACTTATTAAACACTGGAACTCAAATTATATTGTGTCATTGAACATATTTTTTGCAGCAAGCCAAAATACTTCATGCGCGAGGTTCAAATGTTGTTGACATGGCAGTGTTACAAATGAGAAAGTGACACATCAACGCACCCTTTTCTTCCACCTTGCCTTTGGGCTCCTTCATTAAACGCCCAATCCCCAGGTGAAAATACCATATACCACTGTGACGCCACCACCAGCAAACTATCCCCTTTTTTGATTAAACAACTACCCACTGTCGTCCAACTTCATCATTCCAATGTACTCCATTCTATATTCTTTTATACTACATTTTACATTGTTAATTTAAGTTTAATTTCTAGCAGATTTATATACCACATATTTCAGAAAACTGAGATCTATGAATCTTGTTGATTCATGGGATCAAATTTGTTCAACTTTTAATTATGTCATACCCAATAAAACCTTCAAAGCATTCATGAATATGTGTGTGTGTGTGTGTGTGTCAATGGCTATAGAAGTAGGTTATCCGAAAGAAATGAGTTTTATATATGTGAAGAAGAAAGAAGAAGGCGAGGGAAAGAAGAAGGTAATCGCTGGTGGTCTGAATTTCGCCGGTAAGGGTGGCAGTGGTGGTTTTAGGGAAAGACAAATTTAAGGTAAATTTTGATAAAAGGGAGAGACAAGTTTTATATGATGAAGAGGAGAAGTAACTGTGAAAAAAAAAAAAAAGCTAAAACAATTTAAGGGAATTGTTTTTGGAGGTGGTGGGAATGGTGACGGAGGAAGTGAAGGTGGTGGAAAATTTGAGGTTGAAGGAGACAAAATAAAAAATATATATAAAATAAAGTTTAGGACTTTTCACTATCTGAAAGGAGAGTCTACTACACATGATGTGCCATGTCAGCAATGTGTGTTCAATTACACAATATAATTTGAGCACCAATGGGTTCAAGTGTCTAAATGAAAAAAATGAATTAGTTTAACGGGCTATGTATGTATTCAGCCATTTAACTTTGTAGTTTTATTATTTTAATGTATTTCCTATATTATTTTCTATTTATATACCAATTTTCTAAATATATAAAGTACAAATATTTAGCTAGCGTTTGGCCATAGATTCCCAAATTTGTTTTGAAAATTTTGATTTTGGTGAAGTTTGATTTGAAGATGAAAATGTGTTTGAACATGATTTTTCAAAACATATTTCACTTTTTATTTGAAAAAAATAAAACATGACTTATACCCACAAGTTCAAAAAACTATCACAAATACCCAATAGTACTAAACAAACAAACTTGCTATCTTGTATATACATAACCTTCATTACTCAGATTACACATAGGAAGTCATTATTCATATTACACATAGGAAGTCATTACTCGTATTACAATCATGCCTACACCACAACGTACAACTAAAATAATTAGCATCAACGTTTCATGCATTAGAGTACAACATAATAAAATGAAAATAACAGTTAGCTCAATTTTTCTTTAAGTCGTTAAACCATTCGACTTGATTTTTTTCGGTCATATGAACGAATATCTTGCGAAAGCTGGGGTTAAGCAAGAAAGGCACTGCTAGTGAAAATTTTTCGTCAGCTAAACCATATTTTTGCAAGACAAATTGCAAGTGGGTAGTCACAGCTTCCTCAGAGTAGATATCAATCTCAATTTCTTTCGAGAGCAGATACAAAGAAAGAAGTAGGAACAAGAGCAGAAATTGAGGTGATTATTTAAATGTGAGCTCTTTTACAAACTATAAAAGTTCGGGGTAAAAAAAATGTAATGGTCATGTTTTGGCCCAAAATGAGCAATTGAGGTGATTTTGGGATTTGGGATCTTGCCAAAATGTGGGCAAAATCTATGGCCAAACATGTGTTTGCCAAATAAATCCCAAATTTATTTTGGCAAAACTCATGGCCAAACGGGTCCTTAAAGATTCGTGGACTTTATGCCCGCTTTGTCACAAGCAAAGTGCCCGGGCTCGCGCTCCCATTTTTAAAAAACACTGATTGCTACTCTCTCCGTTCACTTTTACTTGTCACGTTTTGACTTTCACGCTGCTTAAGAAATAATAAATGAAGTGCATAATTTATCATGATACCCATATTAATTGATGCATATTTTATTGGATTTGAGAAAATGATTTGAAATAAGTAATAAATACTGTGGGTATAACAGAAAAAAATATATTTTTTCTTGATATGCATAAAGTGACAAGTAAAAATAAAAATTTATTTTTAGTATACATGTCAAGTAAAAGTGAATGGAGGGAGTATTTTGCACTGCAAAGTAAACCAAGACAGTTACATAAATTAGAGTAGGTAATTCCGCTATAGAGCCTAATGAAATTAATAAAAAGGTCATTTATTAGAGTTACACGTCTCATTATCATCCTTATAAAAATATTTTGCATATTAAATACGAGCTACGATAAATTCACCTTCTACAAGAAAAAAGAGATAATCTAATTTTCTCAACATGGTAGAAACATAAGTACTTTACTATATAATCAGGTCATTTTTAACTTAATATAGTAAGGAAAATTTTCATTTTGTTGTTCATGCTTGATTAGTTAGTTAGTGGAAAAAAATTATTATACATATTTCAACTTCAAATTTAATGATTAGCTTTTTCAATTTCAACTCAGATACTATCCAAATGCTTAAGTACTTACTTAGATTAAACAATAAAAAACCTTGGTAATTTTAAATTAATCCAAGTTTTGACCTCCTAAAGTTTACTCATGCTCTTAAAAAATTTCGAAATTCAAATCACATTTCGTTTTCATACTCCAAAATACAATTTTCCGTAACCCCGCCAAAAGTACAATGCCTATCTCAGCCAAAAAGCACAATCCGCGTCAACACACAAAAAGCACTCCTCGCCGTTGATCTCTATCCAATCAACGATTCACATTACGTTTCATCCTTTCACTCGGATCGATACTCTTAACCGTCGATTTTCTTTTCAAATCCCCAAAAAACTAACGGTCACGATTTAACCTTTTCCACAACTTCAAACAGCCGATCCACAAAACCAGCGGCTATAAATAACAACAAACTCAAGCCATTTCAATCTCATCAAAAACAATCAAAGCTCATATCGCTCTTTTAAATTCAAAACCCTAGAAATTCAATTTCTATTTTCTCTCTCTCAAGCTTTCGAAAAATGTCTGGACGTGGAAAGGGAGGCAAGGGATTGGGCAAAGGAGGAGCAAAGAGGCACAGGAAAGTGTTGAGAGATAACATCCAGGGGATTACAAAGCCAGCTATTCGTAGGCTTGCTCGTAGGGGTGGTGTCAAGCGTATTTCTGGGTTGATTTACGAGGAGACACGTGGAGTGCTTAAGATCTTTTTGGAGAATGTGATTCGTGATGCTGTGACCTACACTGAGCACGCTAGGAGAAAGACTGTTACTGCTATGGATGTTGTGTACGCTCTCAAGAGGCAGGGAAGGACCTTGTACGGATTTGGAGGTTAAATATTGGGGGTTAGGGTTTATAGTNTTTGGGGGTTAGGGTTTATAGTGTTTTTGTTGTTAGTGATTGTAGATTTCATGTTTGTTTTAGCGGTCAGTTTAAGCTAGGGTACTTTAAGTTTCTGTTGTTAAGGTCTGGATATTGTAATTCCTCGTTATAAAATCAAGTAATAGAGACCATTTCCTAGAAATATTTTGCATTTACTACATTGCATATCCTCGCTCTTTTTTGTTTATTGGAATTGTCGGGTGTTTCACATTGATGAGGAGGCTTAGGCGAGTATGCATTTGCTCTTCCAAGCATATACAATTGTAGTGGTAATTGATGCAATTCCTTATGGTGGAGTAGATATGCTTAATTTTTCTTTGAAATGGCTGAGCAGCTAATGTGTTAAGAGTATCTATTATGTTGGTATCCTTGTCTTTCATTATAGCTTTGTTGCACATACCTGAGTTCTTATGACTTGTGATTACACATGTTGTTTTACTTGTACGGTGGTTAAATGATATGGTTATTTGCTGGTGTATTCAGTTTCAATCATTTGATATTTCTTGCAGTTCAACTAGGAATAAATCATTTAAGCTGCCACTATTTCTTTGCAGCTGGAGATATTCTTACTGAGATGGCTCTGTTTTACTCTCTGGCTCTTTTTTGATTAGCCTTCCTAAGGTTTGCATTTCTTGTCTCATGAAGACAATTTGATGAATTCTGAGCATAGATATTTGCAATATTTAACGACAGCTAATTAGAGTTTCTTGTCCTATTACTGTGTAGAGATGTCTGCTCACAAAATCATAAATGCGTTGTTCCTTTGGTATCGACTTATTCCCTGCAGCACTTGCTTCACATTAATAAGTTTTCAAATGTGAATAAGAACCTTTAATGATGAACAAAACTTGTTCAAACAATGAATAATTAACAGCCACCATCTTAAAAGCGTTGTGCATAAGTAGAAGCTGAGAAGGGTAGACAAATTATTCTTCTTTAATCAATGTTGTTAAATCGACACCTTGCCTCTACTTTTCAATGCCAGTATGCCACTGACAAGGCAAGGCATTTGCGGATCTGGTGGGGTCAGTACTGCTTTTAAAAATCTATAATGGGCTGGGATGGGTCGAATTAAAACGCTTTGATCTAGGTTTTCTGCTCCATAGTCCATATAAGCAGTCTCCGTTGGCCAGAGATTTTCAGCGATAACTGATTCATCGAGAGAAATCATTGCCATCGGGCTTCTCACTGGAGACTTCAATAACTGCTGAGTTTTTCGAAAGGAACCTGTAAGTGTTTTATTTATTTGGGTTATCTTTTTCTTCAATTTAGAAGATAGTCAGATTGATCCTTTACAAAACCTTTAAGATGTGCGGTATTGTATTTCAATGGAATTTCTCGATATTCTGTTATGCAAGTCATTTTTTCCTATTAAATCCACACGTTTTACTTGGCAAATGCATCAGTAAATAATTAACTCGTGGTTTGTGAAGGGAACAATACAGTTAGCACTTATCAGTGCAACCTCTATTCAAACACAGATATTGGATTTTTTGAGTTGGAAGACAAGATGCCATTAGCAGTGTCCTTGTTGTGCCTGCAAGTTTGGATAGAGCTAAGAATGGCCTCCACTAAACCAGCGAGCTGAGCTTGAAATGCTAAAGTCTAAGGGCCTCAACATGATGCCCAACCATATGTGAATTGCAATAGAGATTGATGAAGCTGAGCTTATTTTTCTAAAATTAGAAATATTTATGCAGATGTGGACGAGGGACAACTGATGTGATTGCATGAGTTTATTCGATCAAATTCGATATTGGTTTGATGGAATTCCTTGTTTTGCTGGAAATTTGTCTTAGAGAAAGCTCACAACTTATGAGCAACACTTGTCTAATTTACGTCCCAAATGTTTCTAATATCGACTTATCAACTCAGACAAATATGTGATTTGCTTCGCCTGCATCGAATCATCATTAAATTCACATCTTTGTCTGAGTTGATAAGATGATCCATGAGACATGTATACTCCGTGAAAGATTTCTCAAGATGGTCTCCATTGCATCGATGGCTTCTAAACAAGGGATTTCCATCAATCCATTTTCGAACTTGATATCGAATAAACTTGTGGGATAACCAACAGTTTTCTTTTTCCAAATTTGTATAAATGTTTGATTTTTGAGAAGTTAACTCCAGCTTCATCAAGCTCTCTTGCACTTTGAACGTGAAGATATGTTGAGTTCCTTAGTTTTTGTCATCTCTTTTGATGTAAACATCTGCAAACGATTACTTTACTTGCAACAGGCTATCCGTGCTCACCACCACATGAGAAAGCTCAGCTCACCAACTGACTCGTCTGTATAAGGTACCTATCATTATTGCTGACTTATCAGCTTTTACATCTTAATTAGTTATTCTTTTAATTCTTGTTGAACTCAAAAAAGGCAAAAGATAGTAATAGTATATTACAATTCTATGAAGCTGCTAAAAAGAAAAATGTCAAAGAATTCCTCCATCATAGAAGTATTGTGGAAAAGCTGACTATATTGCTTTCAGTGGTTGGTGAACCTTTCAGAACTGACATATTATCTTATTGGTGAATGCAATACTCAAAAATGTACAAGTGACTACTGAAAGAGTAACACAAGAAATAGAAGATCTGAGGTTTTCCTTGCTGGTATATAAATGGCATTGAGATTCTTTTATTCAGTAATGTATTCTTTGTTAAATTGTGCTCTCAAGTTATGCTGTCTTTGCTAAAAGTAGCACTTAATTACTTTTTAACTATTAGTTGAAAATTGAACCTAATACTTTTTGCTTCAGGGACTATAATGCCATAAAAGTTACCCAAATCTTTCTGCTGTGTACTAGACAACATAGATATATTGATCACATAGGGCTTACATTACTCTCTTGAATTTCTGATTTTTTGTTCTGTACATGGTGATATAATTCATCAATGAGCATGAAAAGGATTCAATCAAACATCTGATTACTGCTATATTTTCGTGTCGAAAGAGTTCCATGTCCTACTGAATTGACCAAAACTGTGATCCTTTATTCACATGAATTGATATAAGTCACTGAAGATCCAAAAGAAGATCTGGTAGTAATTGATAGAATGGCTCTCAGATGGAAGATCTGCATAAACTAGTTTGGCTAGCCCGCATTGGCTGTACATTCTTTCAATATATTCGTATATATGGTTGATGAAGTTTGTGCCATTGTGTATATTTGTAACACCAGATGTTAGTGTTCTGTGTTTTGTTCATACTGAATTTTTTTTTTATCATTACACTTATGAGGCAAGCCTAAGGAAATGAAAAATGAACTGCAGTAGGGCCAGCGTGATGTTTATCCTGAAGGCTATTTGGTATGTTGAATATTGGTTCTTCAAAAATAGTTCTATGTTTTTTGGTAATCTAATAGGATTTTTACCTAATAAAGTTTAGTAGTCTATTAGGATGAGCTAGCTTCCAACTAGTATATATAAAAGAACTATTTGACCGCGTTCGAATTTCTATTAGAACATGTAATCAGCAGTAACTAGCAGTAGAATTTCAAGACATACACTGCTCAGCTCTTTCTATTTTTGGAAAACCGAAAAAACTTAAATTTTGATTTACCTATGTTAATCCTTTGCTTCTGCCGTGTTATTTTCTTTGCCAATATTGATTTCGATAGACTAAAGGTTTCCTGAGACAAATTCTACATATGATTACTCTCAAAAGAAGGGCAGAATAGAGACTATTGCCTTAACTTTGGAGTTGCAGAATAATACAGGTAGAACCCACCTATTATCAGGGATTATGTTTTCCACAGTTTTTCTAAAAGCATAGGATAAGATAAATGTAGCCAATAATTAGCACAACGACGGAGCAGGACCATATCCAGAAAAGGCCACACGTAACGACTTAACAACTAACCTATAATTTCCCACAAAAAAAGTAACCTCTTTTATTTTAAGGTTATTTTACATTATTATATAAAACTTCACAACAACATATCTATGTAAGAATTTTACGACATACTCCTTGAATTACAAACAATTAATCCTGACATAATATTAGGGTCATGAAACTAGATTATTTTTGCGGTATACCCATACAGAATGTTTTATTCAAAAAAACTTAACTGATTCGTGATGTTTTCTTAATCTTGATTCGATTAGAACCACTCTATCCTTTCGAATCTTTCTACAAATTATTTTCACTCTCTTATCCCTTCTTACATTTAAAACTACGTAGATGCATAAGTTCTTTTAAGTGGACAAATTACTTTTGAAAATTCTTTCATTACAACTTTTCATCAAAAATAAAAGTCAATTAACCAGTAGAGAAAGGATCAGTTATTCTTAACACTCTTTTATCCTACTTTTCATCAAAATTAGAAGTTACTTATTTTATTAGCAAATCAACTTCTCAAGTTTTGACCAATACACTTTAACCCTTACTTTTATAAACACAAGTTAATAGAATTAGGATTTACATAAATTGAAATGGTTTACATCTTACAATTATATATTACTAGTACCGTTTTATGTCTGAAACAACAAAATTACCTGCTAAAATTGAACGTTCCAGTATTTTTGCCTGCAAATTCTGAAAACTGGCTAAGGGAAGAAGCTCCGGCATGGGATTGCCGACTGACGACGCCGTAGTGATTCAGAAAGGGAAGAAGGCTGGTGAACCTTATGTAATTACGGTAAATTGTCCGGACAAAACCGGCCTCGGCTGTGATATTTGCTATACTATTCTCGATTTTGGTCTCTACATTATCAAAGGAGGTAATCTACTAATTTTATATCTTATCGGATTTTATTTATATATATATCCCAGCTTCGCGTTTTCTCCACATGCTTCTAGCTCCGATCTTATACACTATTTACTTCTATTTTGTTTAGCATTTCGTCTGATTAGGGTTTTGAATGTTGGGTATAAGTTGCTTGTTGCGGGATTATTCTAAGTTTCAATTTTTTTAATGATTTAAACAATCTACTCGTATTTTCTCATGTTAAGGGAAGCTTTGTTTCCTATTTCTGTATTGAAATTATGTATCTCCATGGCCAGCATTTGTGCATACTTTGTCTAGTTTTTCGTTGAAACTTTTAGACATATATGTATGTAGTGATATGTGAAGCAGAGCGGACTTAGCATATATGCTGATAGATGGTGCAAATGTTTGCCCACTGTCTCGGGCACGGCCTAGAAAATTTAAAGAAAACGTATGTATATGTATTAAAGGGGTGGCAAAGGCACGATGTTTAAATCATGGATT